AACACAGGCCTTGTTTAGATACCCTCAAAATTCCAAGTTTTTTCACTCTCTCTTCATTAGTGGCGTAGCTAGGGTTTAATGCAAGGGTGGTCCAACTAAATGTAATGAGCCAAATAATAGTGTTCTAAATATAATATTCATTATATTATAGAACACATATACTGTAGTTTTAACATTAATCCATATTCTATGGTGGTCCATGGCACAACGTGCCACCTAGCTAGCTCCGCCTATGCTCTCCATCACATCAATTTTTAGCTGTTTGTATGGAGCATTAAATGTAGGTAAAAAAATAACTAATTGCACTGTTTAGTTGGAAATCATGAGATGAATCTTTTCAATAGTTATTATTATATTTAAAATATTTAATCAAATCACGAAAAGTATTTCTAATTTTTTTAATCTAAACAAGGCCACAGACAACTTGTACAATTTGGGTTGAAACAATAAAATGAAGTCTCAACTTCAATAATAAACTGTGTACCTCTATTTAATAAGGACGCAAGTGGACGACAATTGAAATCCACATAGCTGTCATGCTTCAGTAATACAGATTTGAACAATGCACCATCCCTTATTGAGCTGGATGTGGTCCACGCTCCCTAAAAACCCGGTACAGTACAGATATGCCTCAGAACTCACACAACACCGCTCTTTCCAAGGAATGGGCTACGGATGTAGGGCCCCCGCACGCTATTTTTCTATAATTTTTATTTGCCCATTTCTTAATCGACACTACCCCGAAGCCTGGATGTAGGGCCACGCGCGTCATCCGCGTCGCGCGGAGGTATCGAGGGGCGGGTAAGGCAGGGCGAGCGGTGAGGAAGGATTATGGGTGTTTATGCTACGTCACAGTGGGGGCCACCGCTGACGCAGGCCCACCCTCTGCAGGCTCGACACGTCGTGAACGTAACTGGAGGTGGACCCGGGCACCCTATGCTTGTCTCTGTTCCCTCCTCTTTTGCATTAACCTCCTCGTAGACAGCACCGCTTTCCCGCTACCACCTGCCAAATGCTAGCTCCACACCATTTTTCAAGCGAAATCTGCCCATTTTTTACCGATGAAAGCTGTGAGCGTCCTTCCTCAAAAGCAGGAAACAAACGGCATGTTCACTCGTCAGTGTCAGTCAATTCTTATAAGATATGATATAGTGTTTTTTTTTATAATAAATTATTATTAATCAGATTTATTAGTCAGAAATTAACCAGCGAACAAGATAAAAATGAGAACTCATTTTTGCAAGTGACAACACTAATACAATTGGAGGGATTGTTGCTAATGTTTAGCCTTTAAATTTGTAAAGCGAGGCACCTGAGGAAAATAATAATAAAATGAATACGAACATTTACTTATCTAAATCTATTACATTATCTAACATGGCAATATTTCATCTAAACATTTCAAGGATGTTGATTTTTTATGAGAAAAATGCATGTTCCTTCGCTGAAAAGTACTACTAATGTAGTGCTTAAGAACAGGACGAAGATATTTCTTATTATATTTCAAAATGATACGGCATAGAAAAACTAGACATAGTGTTTGTCAATTGCTGTACATTATTTAATTTGTTTTGAAACGTTTCCCTATCTCCGTATCCGTGTAGATCATGTTCAAACCAGACCCCACAAGGCTAGATGCATGGTAATAATGAAATGATATTTTCTATGCGTAGAGAGTACCTACATTTTATTAGTTTATATTGTGTGATGTCTAAGTCGCAGCCATATTTTTAATGCAGCGAAATACATTGGAGGTCCTTAAGACTTTCTCATATTCTCATGTAGATCTACAAATCTAGCCTTATTTTATTTTCAATTGGTTTACTCCAAGAAAAGATGTCAGCCTCATCAAAACTGCTTGCCGCAGCAGCACTGCAACAAGCCTGCACTTGCACCTACTGTTCACAGTAGAAAATAAACAGCGGCAGCCGCTGCAGCTGCTTCAAAGGCACAAACAAGCATAGCCCTAGTTTATAACTATACCTAAAGTAAAACTATGATTAATCATTTGGAAAATGTAAGAGCCCGAATCCTCACTTTGAGAGCTAGTTTATAGTCCTGGATCAAATCAGAGAAAAAAATCAAGGACCGTCACTGCATTTTGCTCTTTTAAATTTATGCATATAACCATTCTTGATTTTCTCTAAACTTACAACAACCACATTCTTGGTAAAAGGGATTTTGTGGCCTACCCTCATTTGAAATAGAGATATTCCTTTCCCTAATATTCCTTTAATTTGAAAAGCATATTTGTCTGCAGGGGCGGAGGCAGCTGTATGGCTAGGTTTGGCGGCCGCCATACCTAAAATGTACACACAACACTAGTATATTATGTGTATATATGTGAAATATACATGACTGTTGTATAACACCTCAGCCCATTAGTATCTTGTAGTAGTTGTGAAGTTGGTCCGTGTGGCCCAAGTGGCTCATATGTGGTTGTGGTTCTAAACGTAGCACCTCCGTGTTAACCCTTTTACACGAAGCGAAGACGAAAGTGTAAGAGAGGTGCTACGCGTACGCAAGTCCATTCCACGTGCAGAGTTGGGCCATATAAGCAGTTTTTGGACGCGGGGTGTTACATGTTGGCTGATGACCTAATGCACGGATGAATTTTGTTGCTGGGTTGGTATCTCATGGGCATATCTCAAGAACCCACCGTCCACGGAAGGAAGCTAGTACCTCGTTGGTCTTCCTGGCTGATCGGCTGCTCCAGGTTTCAGTCGCCGACGCCCAACGGTTCGTATTTCCTAAAGACCAAACACCTGTTCGCTTGTTGGTTTCAGCCAGGTTTATTCAACCAGCCAATAGTATTTTTCTCTCACAACAAATCAGCACCAGCCAGCCCAAACCAGTCCAGAAACCAACCAGCGAACACGCCCAAAACCTATCAGCTATCGCACATCCAAAAACGGCGGCGCGTCAAGGGTAGAGGCGACGATAGGCAAGGCGGCGAGCCGGCGATCGACGGCGGCGAACGGGTCTACCGACTACGAGTCTGACATCCGAAGGAATCGACATAAAAAATGGATAATATTCTAGTGTGTCCTTGCATAGTTCGTAGTTGCAGTATATATGTTTGACCTTTATAAACCCGCCGCGTCTGGAAAATATTCGGGCCTCCGCCACTGTTTGTCTGTATCTCCATACAACATGAAAACACATTTCCTCAGTCATACAAAGATTTCCACTTTTACTGGTGGTGCCATTAATACTTCTTCCCTTCGTTAGTAACCTCAGTCAAGCGCAACAAGCATCAAAACTGCCAAGAGCTGAAAAGTTATGGCCAAGGCAAGGCACAACTTACGAATAAATTCTATAACCCAGATAGGTTTAATAGAGGGCATCTACATATGGTCCTTGGATGATGCTAAACTATTTGAGAATGGCTATAAATATTATATTTTGGAACAAAGTGTTTTGACAATATTTCCTCTATTTAATGTATAAATTACTTCTGGACCCAAATTTATATGAACTTTTTTAAATGTGAATATTTTGAAAGTACTTAGTAGTCATAGAAATATAAAAGATTCAACTTCATATTTTTCTAGAATATGTACTGTACCAAGCAAAGCTTGGTTATTATAACATCCAGGTACCCATTCAATAAAAAAATATTGGCACCTTCTATTCTCTTTGCAGAGTGAACTAGGTTGAACATTTAGGGTTTGTTTGGCATACCTTTCGGTGGCTCAGGATTCTCTTATCCTACGGTAGCAACTGTAATAACACTATTCACACAAAACCATTTCTCTCTCACACAAAATAAACAAGGAGCCTAAAAAAGCCACGTTTTGTTACCTCTCCGGCTCTCCGGTTCATGCTTTGGCTATGGCCCTTGGATACTGTAGCAAGGGACAAACGCAAGCTTTAACTTTGTCTTTATATAAGTACAGCCTCACAAGGTACCGTTTTCTTGGAAGCTTAGGGTTCATTTGGATGTAGATATTGGAAACACTGAAATTGAATTGGTACCAATACCAAATCAAACCAATATTGGAAATGGACTAAATACCAAATCTGTTGTTTGGATGTAGATGAATTTTCTATCTAGAATCGAGTGACACATCAAATGCCAGTTCCTGTTTGGATGTACACATCTAGAAAATCACCAATCCCTACCGCGGCACCGAGCGCAGAGGCTGAGCTCGACCCCGGTCCGGCCATGGAGGAGCTCGGCCCCAGATGGAGGAGCCCGGCCATGGGGAGCTTGACCCCACCGGCCATGGAGGAGCCCGCCTCCATGACCGCTCGCGTCGGATGGGGAGGATCTCGGCCATGGAGGAGCTCGGCCCCGGTCCGGCCATGGGGGAGCTGGACCCTGCCAGCCATTGGGGAGCTCAACCCCGCCGGATATGGTGCCCACCTCCATGACTGCTCGCACTGGTTGGGGAGGAGCTCGGCCCGGCCCGGCCAGGGGGAGCTTGACCTCTGTGACCGCTCGCTCGACCCCGGTGACAAATGCGCTCATCACCAATTCCGCCCAATACGGAGGGTGCAGGCTCTGTATTGGGGTGACTGGGCGCAGTTGTAGCCAATACCTCTTGGCATTGAAGGTGATTTCCAATTCCAATACCTAAAACATCCAAACAACGACATTTGGTGCTATCCAATACCAATACCAATTTCAGATCCTCAGTGTCTACATCCAAACGCAACCTTAAAATAATTGTGTCGGTGGACATAGCCAATAGCTCTCGTCCAGACGAGCAGAGATCACATGCCATCCCCATCTCATCAAAACGGGGCCTCCCCGCTCCCCTCCAAACTCTGGCCTCCGAGTCCGATCCATTACTCCACTCCACGGCGCCAGCGCCAGCGCGCACCTCCACCGCCCAGCTAAAAATTCCACCGTTCTCCTCAACGCCTGTTTGTCCTTATTACATGGCCAGAGCCAGACGTCGCAGCAGCAGCCCTCGCCTCCACCCTCGCATTCCGAACACCCGCTTCCAACTCCTCCCCGGATCGCTGCTTCTCTAGTAGAGCTGAGCTGATCGATGGACCACGAGCAGCGGCGCCAGCGGTGCGGCACCTCGTCGGGGAAGCACAAGGGCGGCGGCGGCAAGGGCGGGGGCAAGAAGCCAATCAAGGTGGTGTACATCTCCAACCCCATGCGCGTCAAGACTAGCGCGGCTGGTTTCCGCGCTCTCGTCCAGGAGCTCACCGGCCGCGACGCCGACCCCTCCAAGTACAGCCCCGAGGACCTCGCCGGCGCCGCCGACGCCACCGTGGCGGCGCCTGACCTTGACTGCGCCGCCGCCCAGGGGCTCAGCCCCGGGGGCGCGGCCACGTCGTCCGAAACCATCGTTGCCATCCCCAGCCCCGCCGCGGCGGACCACCTGCCCGACGCCGTGGCCGAGGCCGCGCCGCACGGCGCGGACTACTACGACGAGGAGGAGGACGCGGATGGCTTCGGGTCGCAACTGCTGGAGAACAACTACATGGTGTTCTCGCCGCCGACGCTGCTCTACGACCACCACCCGCACAGCAAGGTATGTGAACATGATACCCAAAAAGATCGATCGCCACCGCTCAGCGTGACGCGTGCTCCCCCTCTCTGCATGACATGAGCATACCTTTGTATTGTATGTACTGTGTGCCCCTAGCTAATCTGTGTGCTCGTATGAGCGAATTGCTGGCTCCAATCCGACTCATAATCTGCTGCATACCATATGCCGAAGGGAGGTAGAACGAGAGCAAGACGAGTGTGTATGGTGTGCGGTAATATATCTGTGCTTTTGTGTTCTTTTCTTGTGTCCCAAATCATCTGTGCTTTCCTTTCAAAAGAAAAAAAAAATCATCTGTGCCTTTTCTTGCTGAATTCGGGCGTTGCAACTTGCAAGCGATTGCGATGTGTTCTTGTCATCACCGTTGATCGACCGGCAAGTGCGATTCTCTTCATTTTTTCTCTCTCTGGGTTTCTTTGCTTTGAAAATGTTCTCTGATTTCATGCATGGTGGGGATTGCAAGGGGAGGCTTGAGACTTGAGAGGACGCCCTTTTTCTTATATAGTGCTCATTTTGGCCTAGTTATATAGCTGGCGGTTGCGCTAGATTCTGGATCATCCGCACTACTTGAGTATAACCAAGGAGCCTAGACACTAGAGTATAGAAGAATTGGCCTATGCTGTGGCGCACGCCGGCACAAGATGTCTCTTTTAGCAATCGCCAATATGCACGATCAAATCATACTGGTGTGTAAAAGAATCAGAATTTTCAATAGCTTTGATCAGGCCAAGAGGGATGAGAGCCAGCAAGCTGAGATGATTGTAAAGATCAGACTGTTTCCCCCCACTTGTGCAACTGATTTAGAATATCTGAATCCCACTTCAAAAAAGGATATTATTACATCATGATTCTATCTTTGTCTTCCATTTATAGTGGAGCGTGCGCGCATACACACACTTATCGGGGCCCAAGCTGCAACTTGCAAGCAAACAGTACGGCTTAGCTGATGTAGAATAATCCTAGTCTAAGCCAACAATATGCGTATGTTACGAAGGACTTGATAATTTCAGTAGGAAAACAGATGAGCGCATTCTGCTATTGCAAGCATGTATAAGTGCCGTTATACTATAGTTTTGCCTTTTTAACATCCTATAAGTTTCGTGATCTTGGCACATCCATATCAAATTCTTGAGTTACACTCATGTTAATTAGTTTCATGCACCTTTTCATGTTTAATTAATTCGCTTTGTTCTTCCATTACTATTCGCTCATAATTAATATAGGATGAAATGACACGAGCTCTCCTGCGTGTTTGAGAAAGAAACTATTTGCTTCATACGGTGTGAGGTTTGTTACTCTTATTTTATGACGATTGTTCTACTTACGTGTCTTTGACTTTGCTTCATGCAATTACCTTTTTGTTCATTTGATCATTTCCTTTGTTTGATTTTATACTACTTTTGTTTTGTTGATTCTATTTGATTGATATCAGGATCAGTTTATCATTCCTCCTGTTTTCTAGTTCTCACTTCCATTCTTTTGACATTATTGGTTGATGAACCTAGTTTAGTATATATTCCCTTGATGTGGACTATCTTATATATATATATATATATATATATATAGGCTAGCATACACTGTTACAAATACATCATACATGGCACAAAGACTGATACCTAGAGCTTACAGTGAATATTTGTCCAGATGGCTTTATTAATCATTATGCCAAAATACTGTTCCGGCTGATTTGTTGTGAGAGAGAAAACACTGTTCCAGCTGAAAAAATAAGGTAAAAAAGACGGATTATAAGACAAACAAATAGGACCATTGTTATGTGGTCCACGGTTCTACTGCTCCTTTTCAATTTGAATAATGCATGCCATTTGTAACAAGTCGAGACCTACGCTTTCTCAAATGTATAATGGCACTGGTTTCTTTTGAAATGAGTATATCTGCAACAAAACAAATATAGAAATAATTGTGCATCTTGATAATGCTTGTACTGCGTATGTGGTTTGACTATAGCATATATTTGAATTAAGGCATTAATTGATACACAACTGCAGTTACTAAATACTTTATTTGAAATCAGCATTAAAAAGTAAATTTTCTGCTTAAGCCTTAAGTAGCTACCACTTCTTTGTGCTGCTTTCCAAACCAACCCCGCTTTGTCATATAAATCGAGTGCTCAATATGTAGTTGCACACCATTTAAAAATCATTCTTCATGTTGATTTGGTGCTCAGTCTGAAATTCAAATGCGTGAAAGCTATACAAAATTCATATGTACCACATGAGTCTATATGTGCCCTCAAGATTGGATTGCTTCGTTTATTTTTGTAAATTAAACAACATAAAATCTAAGGTAGTATGTAATTCATTATAGTTAGCTTATTCTAGGTGTAAATTGCTAGATAACTTGAGTTGGTAGAAACAAAAACTCTCCTTTTAAGTTGAACCTTTACCCATCCATTCTATGTTAATTTGTTCCCTCCCCCGCTAAGATTTGTTCATTCTCATAGGATTTGAGCTATCTAATAGGATTTGTTCATTCTATGTTAATTCCTATATGGTCATTGATGCTCTTTTGTACTCTCTCCATTCCAAAATGCAAGGTGTTTAAGTTTTGTTCTAGGTCATACTTCTATAATTTTACCAAGTTTATTGAAAAATACATTAACATCTACAATACCAAATAAATATACTATCAGGACATATTTCATGGTGGATTTGATGAAATTGATATGTTGTAGATGTTGGTAAATTTTTTCTATAAACTTGATCAAAGTTAGATACATTTGACTTGGTCAAATAAATATACTTTTTTAACGTGCTTGAGCACACATTTCATTAGGAGGAAGAGAGAATTAAATGCAACAATGATCCATGATCTTAGCAAGCCTAGGCTTACCAAGAACCGTAGGCATGACCAACATGATCCTTGCGAGACAAATCTCTCAAGGATCATCATCAGAGTTTACATGAGCATAGAGAAACAAAAATAACAAAGCGACAATGAAAGCTACTATAGGTGAACGACCTAAGCTACAAAGACCTCCACATAACTCAGTCCATGATGAGCACAGGGGGCACATCTATCTTCTCACGAACATGATGCTTGATGACTTGACTTGTGTCACAATTAAACCTGTCCACTGCTTGTTGCCTAACATCTTCCATTCTTATTCGCTAATGAAAGTCGAAGGGTAGGAGGGGTGTATGGGGGGGAGAAGATGTGCATCTCGTATAGTCTTGTAGGATCTCTGGTTGGCTAAGAGGGGGGTTAATAGGCCTGTTAAAACAAACACTCAAACTTTTATCAAATTCACCCTACGACACTGCCGTTCTGGAGGGCGGCACTGCCAGACTGCCGCACTGCTGGGCCAGAACAGTGGCACTGCCGCACCTACAGACAACTTCAAATCACAGTTCAAAATCCATGAACAAAAACTTAGATCGGAGAAATTTCCTAGCTTACTGCAGGTATGACAATCACATATCAAGAGCTAGAAGTGGTAGAAACACCACACACAAGTAGATTGACTAGAAACCCTAAAAATCACCTCAACCACAATATGTCATGCAAGTAATGTTAATCAAGCACAAGTGACACAATGATTTATCTCTTGGTTCGGCTCACCACCAAGGCTTGCCTACCTCCACGTTGTTGAGGTTAGCCACTAAGGGTTAGGGCTTTCCAACCCTTCCTCGTTCTCAAATCAAGAGACTTAACTATTAAGATGAGATGTGAGTTTACTAACTTCAAGAGATGATTACAAACCTACCGGGGCTGCCACATAAGTTGGCAAGCTTCATGGGCGACGCTCTAGCCGGCTAGGAGCCAAGCTCCAATAGTAACAAACACAACCGCAGGCCAAACCGTGAACCAAGTGCTCTTTAGAGTTGGAGAATCAATGGAGTTGCTTTCTAATAGAGTTTTGGACCCTTTTCCCTCAAAGATTGATGGGAAATCAATGGATTTGCTTGGAGGCCTGAGGTCAACAATGGAGGGAGGGAGAGAGAGAGCCCTGCTCTGTTTTGGGCATGCTAAAGTGAGGAAGAAAAGGTAGAGAGCCATTGGGGAGGAAAGAGAAAGGTATATATACCCCACAGCCTCCAACGGTACCCGCACCCAAGGGGTCGGGTGAGATGAAGCCCGCGGCCTCAAGGTCGGGCGAGACGGAGCCCGCGGCCTCGAGGTCGGGTGAGACGGAGCCCATGACTTTGGGTGAGATGAAACCCACGTCCTTGGGGTCGAGCGAGACGGAGCCCATGGCCTCGAGGTCGGGCGAGACAGAGCCCGTGACCTTGGGGTCGGGCGAGACCTTTTAATACGTCTCGAGCCATTCGAGAAAGTCAGCGTGTGCGCTAACTTCCTTGTGTCGTGACTCAAGTGCGGCAATGACGCACTGCGGTAGTGCCTCTCTTCAAGTGCGGCAGTGCCGCACCACGCCAGACAGCAAGAGTAATTGTAAAGTGTAGACTGTCTTGGCTGTGAATCTGAGGATGCATGTGGTTGTTTGAGCACTTGGTAGCACATATTAGCTTAAGCATTGTGTCCCCCTTTATAATACGGCTTTTTTTATACTCAAATTTAAAATATAAAAGAATTTAAACATCTTTTGAGTTTGAAGCCATCTACATTTGTAATTGAGGGCTCCTCCGTTTCGTGTAGCATCCTTGAATATAAATTCCCTACTTGTCATCTCGATAAATCTCATTTGTTCTCTAATTGCATGGTTATTATCACCAAAACCCACAATTAGGGCTTGATTGCACTTTCAATCTCCCCTTTTTGATGATTGATGACAATAATTAGAGCTTACAAAAGATATAAAATAAATACTGAGATTTTTGAGCCATGGGTGTAGAGCCTCCCCCTAAGTATGTGAATAGAGAATTGAATTCTCAAATTGGTATAAGAAGCCAAGATTCACATTTTAGTGAAAGTGATGGGGCTCCCCGTACATCCATGCTCCTGTGGGGTGCTGCATACTATGTTAGGTATGTAAAACGTGATGCAAATGACAGTTTATGCAGAACATGGTTTACTATTGCAGCTGGGTGCGGCACTGCCACACTTGCTGTAACAGCACAGATCAGAACAGACACCACATAGCATGTGATACATATAAAGATATACATTCTAGCATAATTGTATCACAAGCGACATCATAGATTAATATATGTTCATATCCCACACATATATAAAGTACTTAAGTAGCATTATTACATAAATAGAGTTTCTAATGGACTCTCAAACTCTCACCTAACGAAGACTACTCTAAACGGATACGAACATGACTCTAGCTGTAGCAACCTCCATGGCATCGAAAAAGTTGTTGACCCCTCTAATTTTCTCCTCCTTTGGCATAAAGCACCAAAAAGAGAAGAAAAGAAGAAAGTGGCATGGAACTGGGCAAGCACTTCCTCATTCCAATTATATCTAAAGCTCATAATATCAGTGAGGTCAAATAACTCACAAGCCTTGATCATCTTATTGAATTTTGGCTCATTCTTTGCCTTCATCTCCTCCCAATCAACATACTACATCTTCACAACCTTGGATTTCTTGGAGTTGAAGTTCACAGATGCATAGAAGTTGAAATGAAACTCATTCCAAAACATGTAGTCAATCTCCAAATCCTTTGGCTGCTCATAGGGATTGTTCTCACGTGCTTCCTCCACCATCTTCAACTTTTTCGCATAGTTGAGCACGGGATGAGCACGTGTGTCAACAAGACGCCTCATGACTACATCATCAGAATACTCTTTGATGTAGCTCCTGTCAAACTCCTTAAGATGAGGTGGAATATATGTGCAAGCACTTGGAGGAATAGTGTGGCCAGCCCTCTCCAAGTTCTCCTCATCCTGGATCATCTAATCTCTCCTCCCCTGTCTCTGGCAACATCTTTGCCTGCTGCACTGTTATTGCCCCCTGTGGTCCTACCACGACCACGACGAGGCATTTGCTTGTCCCGAGGCTCTGTCATCTTCCTCTTCCCCTTTCGGTCATCATCACGCCCGGAGGCCATCTATGCAAAAATATAGACAAAAAGAGAACTATACAAATGGAGAGTATGAGTTACCCTATAAAGCAAGTTAAATAATCAAGAAGAGTCAACGTGCAAGCGAGAGAAGCAGCTCATGAGGTACTGCCCCTAGATGTGTGGCACCGCCGCACCTGGAAGCAGCACTGCCGCACTAGCTGTTTCACCAAGACTACACTTTGCATCTTCTTGTCTACTAAACTTACTTCATAATTTAACTCCTAGCCCACTATACAATCTCAGAAAGCATATGCATGTCCATGTCATCGATTCATCTAGATATGATTGAGAGAAAACCTAGTAATCATGAATCTTAGCATTGGGTGCTGAGTGAAATAGATAAAGTGAGTCAACCATCAAACTAGGAGTGTAGCATTGCCATCTTTGCCACAGAGGTGCGGCATTGCCGCAAGTCAGTTTAGTTCTAAAGTTGAATCATGATTTTTACTTCAATCAATCCTCAATACACCATCCAAACTACTATATACCTTCCAATCAGTCATCCAAGACAACTAGAATCGACACATTGCATAGATCGAGAAGGATTTAGGGTTTCACCTTGGTTCACGCGGGTTGAGGAGGAAAGAGATGAATCAGCTCCGTCCATGAGCTAGGGTTGCTGCTGATGACGACATTGAAGAACAGCAGTAGGCCGCGGTAATGCTGGAGGTGGCGGCGCAGGCTAGACAGAGCGATGGCGGCGGCTGTGCATGCGTGGAGGAGAAGAGAGGCGGCGGCTGGGAGATAGAGAGAGGAGAGGGTTACCTAGGGCAAGGTAAAATAGGTAGAAAAGATGGGCCCCCACGGTAACAGCTGATATGGGCTGAATTTCTAGTTGAAATTCAAAGTGTGGCACTATAGGCGTGCGACACTGCCGCACTCTCCCAGACTAGCAAGATTTAGCTACTAACTAAATACATCTATATATATAGGATATGGACACATATCTTAAGCACACTATGATCGACAATAAATAATCAATACAAACAATGATCATAATGCACTTGTTTCTTATGATAAAACATTTTAAGCACAATATTTATACTTTTATAATTTATTTCTCCTATCCATGCTAGTTTATCAATCAAGGTGTGCTATAGTTCAAACCACGTTACGAGAATCAAGTATATTTAGCTCACTACGCAAAGTATAAAACCTTGACTCATTAAGAGGCTTAGTGAAGATATCGGCTAGTTGCTTTTCGGTGCTCACATGGTGAATTTTGATATCTCCTTTGACTTCATGGTCTCTCAAGAAATAATATCGGATGTCTATGTGCTTAGTTCTTGAGTGGCTTACGGGATTATTGGCTAACTTTATGGCACTTTCATTGTCACACAAGAGTGAGATTTTTGTGAAGTGACATCCAAAATCTTGAAGGGTTTACCTCAACCAAAGTAGTTCAGCACAACATGCACCAGCTGCAACATACTCGGCCTTGGCGGTGGAAAGGGCTACACAATTTTGCTTTTTAGAACTCCAAGACACTAGGGACCGTCCAAGGAATTGACATGTCCCCGAAGTGCTTTTTTGATCTACTTTGCAGCCGGCGTAATCGAAATCCGAATACCCAAGTAGATCAAACCTAGAGCCCTTAGGATACCATAAGCCAAGGTTAGGAGTGTGTACTAAATATCTCAAGATTCTCTTAATGGCCGCTAAGTGACACTCTTTTGGGTTAGCTTGAAATCTAGCACACATGCATACACTAAGCATAATATCGGGCCTAGATGCGCACAAATAAAGTAGAGAACCGATCATGGAGTGATATACCTTAGTATCCACGGCTTTCCCTTCATCATTGAGATTTAGATGTCCATTGGTTAGCATGGGAGTTTTGATAGGCTTGGCATTCACCATGTCAAACTTCTTGAGCATATTATGGGTGCACTTCGTTTGGCTAATGAAAGTTCCATCCTTCACTTGCTTGATTTGAAATCCAAGGAAGAACTTCAATTCATCCATCATGAACATCTTAAATCTCTTGGTCATGATCCTACTAAATTCATCATAAAAAATTATTAGTACTACCAAATATTATGTCATTGACATATATTTGGCACACAAATATATCTTTGCCAACTTTCTGAGTGAAAAGGGTAGGATCAGCTTTGCATATTTTAAAGTCTTGTTTAAGCAAAAATTCCTTAAGGCATTCATACCATACTCTTGCTACTTTCTTAAGCCCATAGATCGTCTTTTGGAGTTTGTAGACATGGTTGGGAAACTTGTGATCTTCAAAGCCCGGTGGTTGCTCAACATAGACAAGTTCTTAAATAGGGCCATTGAGAAATGCACTCTTCACATTCATTTGATATAGCTTGAAGTTGTGATGAGCGGAATAGGCTAGAAGCATTCGAATTGCTTCAAGTCTTGCCACCGGTGCATATGTTTCTTCAAAGTCCAAGCCCTCTACTTGAGTGAAACCTTGAGCAACCAACTTTGCCTTGTTCCTTGTCACTACTCCATTCTCATCTTGCTTGCTGCGGAAGACCCACTTGGTACCAATGACATTGGTATTGGGTCGTTCCACCAAAGTTCACACTTGGTTTCTTTCGAAGTATTGAGCTCTTCTTGCATGGCCATCACCCAATCTGGGTCTCTAAGTGCTTGTTCTACCTTAAGAGGCTCCAAAGAGGAAACAAACGAGTAATATTGATAAAAGTTTGCTAAATGTGAACAAGTTGTTACCTCTTTTCGAAGACTCCCAAGGATGTTATCAATGGGATGATCCCGTTGTATTATTTGCCTTAGCCTTGGATGCTCAATGGCCTATTGTTCATATTCTGGATCTTCATCGTCATCTTGCTCAAATATGGGTTGTAGGTTTTGTCCACGAGCTGGAGTCGAATCAGCTGCTGTTGACTGTGTAGGTGCGGCACTGCCGCCCTCAAGTGCGGCACTACCGCGCTCTAGAGTTGCAGCAGGTGTTTGCTATAGTGTAGCATCAGGTACGTCAGCGGAAATTGGTGTAGCAGCAACTTGAGGAACCTCCACTTCAGTGGCTTCATCTTCTTGTGGTCTAATATCACCAATTGCTTGATTGCTTCGCATGGTGGATCCTCCTTTCCTACAACACTTGAATCAACTTGCTCTACTTGAGAGCCATTAGATTCATCAAATGGCACATCTACCGCAATCTCAACTCTCTCATAGGTTTTGTTGAAGACACGGTTGGCATGCTCATTTGATCCGTAACCAGAAGAAAACCTTCATCAACTTTAGGTGCAAACTTAGAGGTTTTGGATTTTTGGTTAAGCATGAAACACTTGCACCCAAACACTCTAAAGTAAGACACCTTAGACTTGTTATCGGTTAGAAGCTCATATGAAGTTTTCTTCAACTTCTTATGTAGGTAGAGGCAGTTGATGGCATGGCAAGTGGTGTTGACGGCGTCACACCAAAAGATGTCCGACGTCTTGTACTCATCTAGCATTGTCCTTGCCATGTCAATGCGTGTATGGTTCTTCCTCTCTATTATACCATTTTGTTGAGGGGTGTATAAAGTTGAAACTCATGCTTGATGCCCTCTTCATCAAGAAACTCCTCAATTAGAGTATTCTTAAATTCGGTCACATTATCGCTTCTCTTTCTTAATGGAAAGACCGAACTCCTTTTAAGCTCTTCTAACAAATATATTCACCTTCTCTTGAACTTGGCATTATGTAGGTGACCGGTCCAAAGAGATCCATATGTATTAGCTCTAATGGTTGCTTGGTAGTCATGATGCTCTTTGGTGGGTGAGGTGCTCCAACTTACTTTCTAGCTTGACAAGCGCTACAAATCCTATCTTTCTCAAAGTGAATATTTGTTAGTCCAAGGATGTGTTCATCTTTTAGAAGTTTTGGCCAAGTTCTCATCCCAACATGGGCTAGTCGGCGATGCCAAAGCCAACCCATGCTAGATTTTGCCACTAAACAAGTCTCAACCTTAGCTTTATTTTTGTTAAAATCAACTAAGTAAAGCTTGTTCTTTAATTGACCCATAAAGACAATAGAGGAATCCTCTCTTCTAAAGAAGGCGCTAGGCGCTTTCTAGGCGTTGACCCATAGCCTAGCGCCTAGGCTAGCCTAGGCCAGCCTATGCGTTTCAAGGCATTTTTCTAGGCGTTTTACCAATTTAGCACACAACATATATATATATATATTATATATAGCATAAAATGCTAAATAAATTAGTTAAATAGAAGCATAGAGTAGTTGAATACAATATATAAAAGAGAGGGTAGTAGACATACCTTAGTGGCTTACTGTCTTAGGCTCAATAATCAATAGACAACTTGTTCCTAGTTTCTACAGCAAGGATTGATAGCTTGTAAATACTCAATAGACAGCAAGCAGTTCATCAAAAAAATAGAAAATAGCAAGTTGACACTTATCTGAATGATTTCAGCCATCTCCCATCCATGAACAGACCATATCAACAGCTAGTAATTATAAATTTTAAAGCACAAATAAGTGGACATGACAACAGTACAAGTGCACAACATAATTCATAAATAAAGGTCTTGTTCAGAGACCACATAGTTCTCACAAAAGAAGAAAAACACACTTACATAGCAGCAGTTCATAAGTTTCAGACATACATGAATGCATCATAAAAAAATAAACCATGACATGATAAAAAGGCCCCACTACCATATCATGTTTCTTCTTCAATAGGGTTCCACATAATCATCCTCATCTTCATCAAACTGTTCTTCTTCGGACTCAAATTCTTCTCCTTCATAAAGCTATCTCACTCTTGCACTTCTACGCAACTCAAGTTGTTCTTCTGCTCCCACTGCATCTCCAATAACAGACCAACGTATCCCTGTACCTTCCATCTCATCTTCCTCATCTCTATAGACAACTAATGCACAATTATCTCCATTCTCATGTAGAAAACCATGAGCTTCAATTGTATCATTAGACAAGAAAACATCACTGATCTTCTTTGACTTGATCTTTTCTTTCTTATTAATCAGCTTGGAGTTGAATTGAATATAGACCAATTTGTTCAGACGGCTTGTAGTGAACCTATTTCTCTTCTTAGTGTGTACCTATAAATTTAAAATAAGAGCATTTTCAGGCACGTAATTTAATTGTAATGCTGCTGCAATTTTCAGGTAGACATGTACCAACCCCTTCATGATGCTCCAAAATAAATGAAAAGCTTGATGTCAAAGATAGGATCCTTATAGCCATCTTCGTAAAACGGGTGTTTCAATTCCGAACAGCCGCCACCATGATGCTAAAATAAATGAAAAACACATCTATTAGTTAGTAGTCATTTATTGTTAGATGAAAACAGCAAACAACCATGTTATAATCAAATTTATTGTAAATTCCTCCTTGCATCATCTTGTCACAGAGTTTGCACTTCACCTTGTCCTTGTTAGCATCAACAAGAACCCCATATTCCCATCCCACATCATCCAAATTCCTTCTCATGAGATTCGCTCCCTCAGTGTTCGCTAGGCATACATTCAGATTCAGAGCACAGATCAGGCTCTCTAACATTCAAGCATTCAGAGTAGTCATTCAGAGCATTCAGGCATCCAGAGTATTCAGCTTTAGAGCAGGGGAGAGGAGCAGGGTAGGGGAGCAGCGAGCAGGGGAGGGGACTGACCTTGGGGCTGCCGCTTAGGGAGGACCAAGGACACCATCAGGGAGGGATGCGCCTATGGGAGGGGTGCACCGATGGAAGACGAGACCGGTGGGGAGGAGCTTCCAGGCGGGGAGCAGTGCGACCGGTGGGGAGGCGCTTCCAGGCAGGGAGGAGCTTAGGGATGGGCCACGGGAAGGAGATTCCAGATGGGGAAGAGCGTGGCCTACAGATCCACCTGCCCGGCGCCGGTAGGAAGGAGCGCAGCCATTAGGAGCAGCTTCCTAGAGGGGTCATAGGCGAAGGCGAGTGAGCAGTAGTGGTTGTCTGAGAGTGGGAGAAGCATGAAGTAGGCACGTGCGCATCCTTTTCCCTCCTCCCTCTTATCCTTCCCATGTGAGGCTTCTTTTCCCCGCCCGAAGCCAGCTGCGCGCGCTTCCATGGGGGCGGAAATTTTCGCGCGCTCGCTTGAGGCGTCCGCCTCCACGCCACCTAGAGCGCCTACGCGCCGCCAAGGCACTACGCCCGCCTAGGGGTCCGCCTACCCCCGTAGGCTAGGCGAAGCCCGTCGCCTCCCGATTAGTCACGCCTAGGCGCGCCTAAGGCGTCGCCTTTTTGAACTTTGCTCCATTCTAAAGACTTCCACACCCTTATCCATAAATAGACAATTGTAGCCCATCTCACACAATTGAGAAACGGACAACAAGTTGTAACTTAACGAATCAACATGCAATACATTTGTAATTGAATGCTCAAGGGTTATAGCAACTTTACCGATACCAATCACATCCTTCTTTGAATTGTCTCCAAAGACAATATTTTCATTTGAGTGCGTCATCGGGGAATATGATGAGAACATACTCCTTTCTCCGGTCATATGATTTGTACATCCACTATCAAGCACCCAACTTAATCCACCGGAGAAGTATGCCTATAAAACAAGTTTAGTTGCTAGATTTAGGTCCCCAATTTGACTTGGGGCCTTGCATGTTAGTCACAACTATCTTAGGAACCCAAATAGAAGTATTCCTATATATGTTGGTTTCCTTTCCAACATATTTTGCGACCACTTTACCACTGTTGTTGTTCCTCAAAACAAAGCATGATGTCAAGCTTTGTCGAGGTGCATAAGTCTTCGGTTGATAGGCATACTTATTCTTGGTGGCCCACACTGATTCCTTAGGCTTCTAGAAAACCTATTTCTCCTGGTACACCTTCTTCTTGGGCTTAGTTTGATCAGGAGCAGAATTGGTAGCCTTCTCATTTTTGCGGAGCACGGCACTGCCGCTCGGGGATGCTGCACTACCGTGGTCTGTGCAGGCTGATCTGTACCAATTTTGTCCTTCCTCTCAAACTACACACATGCATATCCTTTCACTATCCTTCTTACATTTGTCTTGGCTCCTTTTGTGTGACCGAGCTCATGCTTGATTGAGGGATGCCTTCCTTGCTTGAATTGTGGTCCTTTTGATTCATCAACCTCCTTGTCATTGGATTGGGTTATACTTATCCACCATTTTCCAATGACTTCATTGAGCCTAGCAATCTCCTTTTTCATAGCTTCCATGTGTTGCAAGGTTAGTGTAATAAGCATTCAAGTCAAGATTAAAACATTTTCCACAACCTTGACTAGTAGAGGGAGTAGAGGTTTCCTTTGCCTTAGTGAGATATGAGTTGCTATCCCAAAGAATATTATATTGCCTTAGTCACAATACTTTTTCTTGAGAGCTTTATTTGCTTTCTTTGTGATAGCATGGTCCTCTTGCTCTTTAGCCAAGGCCTTGCGCAAGGATTCCACCTCACTTCTCTCAAATGTAAGAGCTTCTTTGTTAACAATGTAGAGATCATCTTATTGGATAAGAGTCTCTTTTCTAGATGGCTTGGACACTCTCTAGATCCTCCATTAGCTTAGTGATGAATAATTTGGTCTTTCCATCCAAATTTTTAGTTATCATGTTTATTTCTTCATCACTAGATTCACCATCACTAGAGCTATCACTAATATCACTACTAGAGATATCACTAGGAGGTGGAGGAGATTTGACCTTTGATTTAAATTTTATCTTCTCACGCTTTGCCATAAGACAAATGTGAGGGGAGTAGTAGTCATCATCGGACATGTCATTGAAGAGCATTGGTGTAGAGGATGACTTGTGAATAGCAATAGTTGCAACCTTCTCATCCTCTTCACTTGTGCACTCTTTAGTTGAGTCCCATTCATGCTCAATGTGAACCTCTCCCATGTACTTCTTCTCTTTCTACGGTCGACTTTCTCCTCTTTCTTGTCCTTCTTGTATTTGTTGTCCTTGATCTCATATGGACACTTGCAATAAAGCGATCGATGCTTCCACAATTGTAGCATGTCCTCTTTTTCTTATTTGGAAAGCTTCTCTTCACTACCTTGTAGCCTTGCTTCTTTAGCCCCCTGTGATACCTCTTCATAAAGAGAGTAACATCATTAACTTTCTCATATTGATCATCATTATTTTTACTTTCACTTGAAGATGATGTGGTCTCTACTCTTTCTTAAACTTGCTTGCTTGCTTTGGGCTTACTAGTTGAAGCTTGTTCGTTGATCTTAGACTTGCTTGTAGAGCCTTGCTTGCTTGATTTGTTGGCCTTGAGAGCTACATCTTTGATCTTGATGCCCTCTAGCTTTGCTTGCAATTCTCCAAGTTTCTTCCTCTCATTTGCTTCTTCTCTTTGCATGTCAAAGGTCAAGATCCTCCCAAGTACATCATTTGGTGTGAAGTACTCAAACTTCTTCTTGTCTCTAATTAGAGTGACTACGGTCTCATTTCTAGGTGAATAAGCTTTCAACATAATCTTGACAACTTTATGATCATCTAGCTCATCACAACCATAGCCTCTAATCTTACCCACCATTGTCATCAACCTATCAAACATGTCTTGTGGCCCCTCTCCATCCAAGATTACAAATCGGTTGAGCTTTGACATCAACAAGTCAATTCTTACATTTCTCACTTTGTCAACCCCTTCATGTGCTAGATGCAAAGTGTCACATATCTGCTTGACAACATCAACTCCAATCACTCTATTGTACTCATCACCATCCAAGGCACTAAGCAGCACACTTGTGGCTTGACCATTGAGGTGAATGATTCTCATCTCTTCTAGTGTTGGGTTCTTAGGATCAACCGGTGGCTCAAATCCATTGCAAACAATCTCCCAAATGTCGGGGTGAAGACCTATAAGATAGGCTCTCATCAAGTGCTTCCACTTGGCAAAGTTAGTCCTATTGAAATGAGGTAACTTGTTCGCATGCACATTGATGAAAGACCTCCGATCATGGTTAGTTATAGAAATAGAAGAGTAGTTAAAGGATACGGTGGCATATTTGTTGTTGTTGGCCTTTTCCTTTCCTTTCTTCTCCTTCTTGTTCCCCTCCATCACTTGGTATAACTCATCATCATCTTCATCTTTGGAACTACTTGATATGCTTGATGATGCACTTGTTGCCTTCTCTTCTTCTTCCTTCTTCTTCTTGCTTCTCTCTTGAGCCTTCTTTCTTCTTTCCTTTGTTTCTTCTCCTCTAACTGCTGCTCCTCCTTCTTCTCTCTTGCTTCTCTTTTTAGCTTTCTTTCTTCTTTCCTTCTTCTCTCATTCTCATTGAGAGTTCCTTCGGCATCGGTAGCCTCAAGATGTGGTAGCGTGGTGTTGCTTGTTGTCGACGCGCTCAGCTCACTGCTATCCGGGTCGACATCCACCCGCTTCACGCCACTAGTTCCTCCTCTAGGCTCCATACCTCACGCGGTGAAGTGTATATGAGGTAACCTGGCTCTGATACCACTTGTAGGATCTCTAGTTAGCCTAGAGGGGGGTGAATAGGCCTGTTAAAACAAACACTCAAATTTTTATCAAATTCATCCTGCGGCACTACCGTTCTGGAGGGCGACACCACCGGACTACGGCACTGCCGAGCCAGAACAGCGGCACTGCCGTACCCGCAGACAACTTCAAATCATAGTTTAAAATCCGTGAACGAAAACTTAGATTGGAGAAATTTTCTAGCTTACTGCAGGTATGACAATCACAAATCAAGAGCTAGAAGTGGTAGGAACACCACACACAAGTAGATCAACTAGAAACCCTAGAAATCACCTCAACCATAATATGTCATGCAAGTAATGTTAATCAAGCAAAAGTGACACAATGATTTATCTCTTGGTTCAGCTCGCCACCAAGGCTTGCCTACCTCCACGTTGTTGAGGTTAACCACTAAGGGTTAGGGCTTTCTAACCTTTCCTCGTTCTCAAATCAAGAGACTTAACTCTTGAGATGAGGGGTGAGTTTACTAACTTCAAGAGATGGTTACAAACCTCCTAGGACTGCCACACAAGTTGGCAAGCTCCACGGGCGACGCTCTAGCCGGCTAGGAGCCAAGCTCCAAGAGTAACAAAAACAACCGCCGGCCAAAACGTGAACCAAGTGCTCTTTAGAGTTGGGGAATCAATGGAGCTACTCTCTAATCGAGTTTTGGACCCTTTTCCCTCAAGGATTGATGGAAAATCAATAGATTTGCTTGGGGGCTTAAGGTAAACAATGGAGGGTGGGAGAGAGAGCTCCTGCTCTATTTTGGGAGTGTTGAAGTGAGGAAGAAAAGGTAGAGAGCCGTTGAAGAGGAAATGGAAAGGTATATATATACCCCCAGCCCCCAACGGTCACCGCACCCAAGGGGTCAGGCAAGACGGAGCCCGCGGCCTCGAGGTCGGGTGTGACGGAGCTCGTGACTTTGGGCGAGACGGAACCCGCGTCCTTGGGGTCGGGTGAGACAGAGCCCGCGGGCTCGAGGTCGAGCGAGACGGAGCTCGCAACCTTGGGGTTAGGCAAGACCTTTTAATACGTCTCGAGCCATCCGGGGCGCGCTAACTTCCTTGTGCCGCGACTCAAGCGCGGCAGTGCCGCATCACGGAAGACAACAAGGGTAATAGTGAAGTGTAGACTGTCTTGGCTGTGAATCTGAGGATGGATGTGGTTGTTTGAGCACTTGGTAGCACATATTAGCTTAAGCATTGTGTCCCCCTTTATAGTATGGCTTTTCTTATACTCAAATTCAAAATATAAAAGAATTTAAACCTCCTTTGAGTTTGAAGCCATCTACATTATAATTGGGGCTCCTTCCGTTTTGTGTAGCATCCTCGAATATAAATTCTCTACTTGTCATCTCGATAAATGTCATTAGTTCTCTAATTACGTGGTCATTATCACAAAAACCCACAATTAGGGCTTGATTGCACTTTCAAGTCTCAACCAAAAGCTTGACCTCCAATGTTCACGAACTAAGGTCACTTTGTACACAAACACTAAGGGGTCAGAGTGATCAAACTAGGAGGCACATCGAACTAATTTGAGGCTTCAACTACAGTGACCTTTGAGAATTCGATAGCAAAACCCATCGCTGGAAGCACTCCCATAGCAACACCCTTAGCAACACCTAGAATTGGAGTGGTACAATGGCGTGGCGTGGACCTAGCATCCGGACTGTTCTTCCATGGCCAGGAGTGGAACCACTGCACTAGGCAACCTATTGGCAACCTCAAGAAAACATTGGTGGTGGTATTAAAGAAGTGTACGTACGCAACGGGCGATGAAGGTTGTAGCAGCTTGGTGCGACTTGAGCTGGTAGGTAGGTGGCCCTAGATCCTGATATTTTGGAATGGATGGAGTAGCTAGCTTGGATACTGTTTCTCTATATATTTGTACTAACATCTCAACTAATCAAAACATCATAGTTGTTCATGATGAGATCAAATAAAAATATCTAAAATAGTATTGCAGAACGCCAAATGTTTTACTTTTGCGTTGAAAAACAATAGGCGCATTGACAAAATAGCGTTGCCTTACCAACTTCTAAAGCCAGCGATGAAGGTTGTAGCAGTTTGGTGCAACTTGAGCTGGCTAGTAGGTGGCCCTAGATCCTGATATTTTGGAATGGACGGAGTAGTTAGCTTGGATATTGTTTCTCTATATATTTGTACTAACCTCCTAACTAACCAAAACATCATAGTTGTTCATAATGAGACCAAATAAAAATATCTAAAATAGTATTGCAGAACGCCAAATGTTTTACTTTTGCGTTGAAAAACAATAGGCGCATTGATAAAATAGTGTTGCCTTACCAACTTCTAAAGCGAGCGATGAAGGTTGTAGCAGCTTGGTGCAACTTGAGCTGGCTAGTAGGTGGCCCTAGATCCTGATATTTTGGAATGGACGGAGTAGCTAGCTTGGATATAGTTTCTCTATATATTTGTACTAACATCCTAACTAATCAAAACATCAGAGTTGTTCATGATGAGACCAAATAAAAATATCTAAAATAGTATTGCAGAACACCCGAAGTTTTACTTTTGGGGGTGAAAAACAATAGGGGCCTTGACAAAACAGCGTTGCCTTACCAACTTCTTTCTAAAGCAAGGTATTGCGGAGCACTATTTCAAAGTTTCTGAAGGTCAGTAGAAAATCTTTAAGTATGCAGTGATAATTGGCTTATTGATTCTGAAGTTTTTTCTTTCCTTGGATAATGTAATATACATGCAGAGTATTTTGTTGAATCAGCTTCTCAATGGTTATATTGACACATGTTGTATAGCTATTAATTGGAACTCAGACTCTATGTTGAATGATTACTAACCATGTGCATTTTTCTTGTGTTTCTGCAGTTCTCATTTGGTTGAGGGCACATGTGAGGCTTGGAGTGTTACTGCTACACAATACTGGTAACGAAACATCAGGTGATGGTGGTCTGTATGCAGCTGCCTTTCAGAATCTTTATTGGCAACGGATGTGAATATATGATGGTTGGGGTCTGCAATTGGCCGTGTTATTTGTCCGTGGTCGTAGCGGGAGTAGTAGGCATGCATGTTAGCATGTAATGTAGGGAAGTCTGGTGTACTCTGTTTGTCCCGTGATGTCGTTTGGTCGATAAGCTCATGGTTCAGTCCTCTGATCGAGCAGTAATGAAACAGATTTGTCTATGTACGTGAATCCACCGACGGAAAAGATGAGACCCCATAGACATGACTACCCTACGATGAAGGGGTTTAACACCAACGGTTCTTTGTCCTCCATTCTGCTGGTGCTGTTCTTCTCGCCTCGCCTGATATATAGCTTGGCTGAGCAAAGTTGGAATGTAGAGGATCCAAACATTCTCCGATTCCGCATGCGGTTTTGCCTTTTGCCAAGCGCCCACAGGCACAGACACCTGGAGCGTGCTGCGCCGTCATGAGTGAGTTTCTGGCGGGTGACGGGGCCGCCGTGCCCGCGCCCTCGGCGTGCAAATTTCCAATTTTCCGTGCCGCGCGGCCAAGCGACCGCTCCCATTGTCCGTGACGCCACGCGCGGCTTGTGTACGGGTCGCGGGGAAGGCGAATGCTCCACGAGACCAAGCGGGTGGGCCGGGCGGGGGAGCTGCTTGGTTTCGGCTGCTCAAGCGGTGGCAGCAGATCAAGTCAATCAAGAAGAGAAATACATGGGTCTGGAAACGGGCCCATGCTCTAGACTGTTTTGGAGGCCTGGAGACCATTGCGTCTCTCGCGGGCCTAAACTGTTTACCTCTGGGCTCTCACCCAGATTTTTCCCAAAGGGAAAAGATCTCCCCTCCCTCTCTTTCTAAAAAAAACCAGTACCCTAGTAGTGGTGAATCAGTGATGTGGTGCAATTTTAAACTCGATGTCTTTTCAAGGTTCCCGTGTTAGGTCGAATAATCATCTTTTTCCCAAGTGCGCGGCTCCGATTCGACGACAGAACCGAGTCTTGTTTCACAAAGCCAGGCTGTGCGAAAACACAGATAGCATTAAGTAAATCCGGGAAGCAGAGGCTCTAACATCCCTCGAGCGTGAGATGAACCTCTGACCTTTCTACGACAGAAAAAGAAGCAATAAACCTGGCCGCCTCTGCGTGCATGCAGTGCGAAGTAGGCGCAAAAGCGAAGAGACTCTTGGGCGTGTCCGGCTCGCTTGTATCAGCTTGCAGCTTATTTTTTCTCAGGTGACACTATTAAATCAGCCGAAACAAACTGGTACACATTAAAAAAAATGTATCAGCGCCCGCGAAAGCAGCAGCAAGCTGCCTGGCGAAGTGGACATTGACGTCGACGCATCAGTTGCCGCGGAATCCTCTTCTTTTGTTTATGTCCCCCCGGCCCCCTGCGCTGCGCTGCACTGCACTGCACTTCCTCGGCTCCTCCTGACCTCATCCATGGCTGCACTTTGGAAACCTGATTCCCCATGCCATGCCAATACGCCCATGCCCTTTCGAAAACGACTGTCGACACTGCCCCTCTCGCTCGCTTTCCACTCGATTCCAGCAGGCGTGCGTGGCCCAAGTACCCAACCCACCACCAGGTGGGCCCTCTGCTCCACCCCACTCCACTTTTACAGGCACAACAGCCTCACCGCCCGCCGCAGCCCCACCAGGCACCACTTCACGCCAAACGACGCGACGCGACGCGAGACGCGGCGCAATACAAAGGTGGACTGGCTGGTTCAACTCCTACCAGCACCAGGCACCCCCACCACTCCACCACTCCACCAGGCACCAGCGACCGACCGGGCAGGCACAGAAAAGCAAACCAGACGAGACGTCTCGCGTCCCGTCCTGCCGTTCCCCTTCTTCAGTTCTCCCGCTGCTGCGTGCTGCGTGCTGCGTGCTGCTGCCCTCCGTCCGCGTCCAGATCCCGCCCACCAACCGATCTGGCGGCCTCCAGCATGGCGGCGGCGGGGGCGGGGGCGAGGGCGAAGGCGGCGGGAGCCCTGGCGCTGGCGCTCGTGCTCGCGCTCGCGGGGGCCAACTCCGAGGGCGACGCGCTCTCGGCGCTGCGCCGCAGCCTCAGGGACCCCGGCGGCGTGCTGCAGAGCTGGGACCCCACGCTCGTCAACCCCTGCACCTGGTTCCACGTCACCTGCGACCGCGACAACCGCGTCACCCGCCTGTGAGCCGCCGCCTCCTCCCAGCTCTCCCTCGTTCTCGCCCCTCCCCCCCTGCGGCCTGCTTGAGCCGGGCCGCAGTGGATTGTGGATGGGGAGCGTATGAGTCGATTCCCAACTTCAATAAACGTTGATGGGGTACCTGTTGTTAGATGCGACCTGTAAACCTGTTAATCCGTGGACTTGTTTGGATGACATATATTGGCTGTTAAATTGATGGCTTCCTAAAGTTAGTTTGTGATTGGAAAGGGGGTGCCAACTAATGAGGTAGGCTGCGTAAGGGCTTAGGCAATCAATTAAGTGTTGGACTTCAAGCTGAGTTTAGGATTGTGTGATCTAGATTATCCTAAACTGATTAGGAAAGGTTAGCTTGCCAAATTTCTTTGGCTTGTGCAGCTAGCAGCTTAGTGAGTTAGTTAGGGGATTGTGGTCTTTGCAAGAGATCAGGGGATTGTGGTAGAGGATTGTTAAGGTTGTGGCGCCAAATAACAGTGGTGGTGGAACCTTCTACATAGAAGAGGCTGGTAACGCCCAAAAGGTTTGCTACTGTGCTGGAAGTATGGATTACAAACACCAGGCAAATAGTGTTGGAATGGTCGCTACCACTTAAAATCACCATAAGATTTCCATTGCTTTCATTCTCTCTTTCGGTATTTCAGTTTGGTTGTGGTTCAACTCATCTTTTGATATATATCTTTCTGTCCACCATTTATATGATAATAGCTTTACTCAAAGGAAAACTCTGTAGATAACAGACTGGTCAGGATTTCATATTTTGTTGAAGTATTTATGACAATCTAAGACACACACATGGTCTGTAGAAAATCTTTGGATGACAAGCTTGTATTGTATTGTACATCTTTCAAATTTCTAGTAGTACCGTTTTCTGATTGTTGCTTCGATACCTCTTCTAACAGAGATCTTGGTAATTTGAACTTATCTGGTCATCTGGTGCCTGAGCTTGGGAAATTGGAGCATCTGCAGTACCTGTAAGTTCTTACCCAAATGGTTTATATCATGGTAGTTGTTCAGAATAGGAAATTGGACCATACATTCACTGATTCTTTTTTCAACTGCTTTTGGGCATCAGGGCATGTAGTTCTGATCATTTATCAATGCCATTATGCCCCTTGAAAAGGCTCGTGAATCCATTTACAGTGAAATTGCAAACACCAGTAGCTAGACTAGGATCAAACTACCTTTGTCCCACCCTCGATCAGTTTGTAGTTTTGACAATGGCTGATGTATACACGTGCTCATCAAATCATGTGTGGTTCTCTGCACATGGGCAGTACCTAATATATAATAGATGAGTCCATGATTGCAGCTTATAAAAGCTTTGTTAGGGTTATTGAGGCCTTTGTACCATACAGGCCCAGCCCCTTTTTATGTTCTAAGCTCCGTCAGTCAGTTTTGAATTTAGCAGTCTGGACATTTTCGTGATCGACCATTATTGCACCACACCCTACACTATTAGAGCTAACATATTTCTGAACCGTATTCATTTACCAGTATTTTTATCTAGCTGGTAGATGATAACCTTTTTATGACATAAAAGAAAAATAATTATAAGGGCATGGCTTTACTACTGACGATGATCAAAATACCTTGATGTATTTTAGTAAAAGAAGATATGTCATGCCTTCAGTTATACTATATAAAACTATGCTTGTCATCCTTGGTTAATTAGGTAGATAGGGTCCTGTTCTCCCTAGTAGGTAGGACCCTCCTGAAATGTGTTCATGATTTTAGACATTCAATGCCTAATTTTCTAATTTTAAAAGGGAGGGAGGAACAATTTTCTATAACCTGCAAATTTGTCCATGTTATGTTTGTTTGCAGTTATGACTTATGATACAAGGGCTTGATATAGTTAGACATTTTTCACTTAGTTTGATATGCACCTGTCAATTATTCATCCAATAATTATACTAGTACTGACCATTAGCATGAAACAGGGAACTTTACAAGAATAACATTCAAGGAACAATCCCTTCTGAGCTTGGCAATTTGAAGAATCTGATAAGCTTGGACTTGTACAAGAACAATGTTTCGGGGACAATACCTCCTGCCCTTGGAAAGTTGAAATCCCTTGTATTCTTGTAAGTTTATTTCTTTAAATTATGTTTACATATTGTAAAATAGCTGTGAGCTTGTTACATCTTAGCAACTAAACATGGATTTGATACTAGTTTTACTGAAGATGATCATTCCATCTTCTTTAAATTGTGTTAGGCTGTGGTAGGTCAAGCATTGTGCTGTTCATAATTAGGGATAGTTGTGCATACGTTGAGCTTTAACTGCAGTTTGACCTTTATTTATGGTCATTATTCTTGTCATTTTAGATATGCTTTCACATCATTCTATCTTTGCTAACACGTGGTTGAGCTTTGTAGGCGGCTCAATGGCAATCGTTTGACTGGGCCGATCCCAAGGGAACTTGCTGGAATATCTAGTCTCAAAGTTGTGTGAGTAAAGATCAACTTCAAATGTTTAGTGTTCTATCCTCTCCAAGTTAATACTCAATTTGACAATCTACCCACCTTGTTCTTTCAGTGATGTTTCAAGCAATGATTTATGTGGGACGATTCCCACATCTGGACCATTTGAACACATTCCTCTGAGCAAGTAAGTTTCATTGCCAGTTTGTATCTTCTTGCAAACTTTGTAAAGATAAACTCAAAACATTTAGGCTCCCTCTTCCAGACAAGTGCAGTAAGTTCATCTGTTAGATATGTTTCATGTCCGCTCCTGTCAGTTCAGCATCGTTATATGACACTTCATTTTGTATTTTGCACTCATTTGTATGTATATGTAATTGATCATTAAATAACTAGTTCAAGGTTTACCCCATGTTGTATTATTGCCGACATGCCTGGATAATTTTTTAACAGGAAAAATAGAGGCCATTTACTTTTTTTCTTTTACTTTTAGATCAATGATTTGAAATGATATGCCTAGAATCTTATCTTATCATCTGAGAGGGCATCCAGGTCCACAGAAATATTACTCTATATCTTGTTTAATTGAAATAGTCCTAGTGTCCTGCACTCGACCTAGTGGCTTCCTGGAATTTGAGAATAATGGAGTAGGTCAATCCAAGTTCCAAGCACTTTGTGTCCACTGTGTGTGTAGTGTTATGAGGGCATCTTTCTATAAACTACATTTTCGCTGGGTCAAAATACTGGGGGCTGTTGACAAGCTGTTGTCCATTTTCTTTTCTGGTCATAAGAACAGTAGAACAGGAGTGCTCTCAATCCTGGACTATGTTAAGTGCAGTCAGAACGTTGTATTCTCCAGCATGCATGTTTTGTGTAACACGATGCATGTTTTACTTATCCATGTGCTTCCCTAAAGAAGTAACTTGTTCATGTTATGTACTTATGTTCCCCCCTGCAGCTTTGAGAAGAACCCACGCTTGGAAGGTCCAGAGCTACAAGGCCTGGCCACATATGACACCAACTGCTAGAGGGCACCACGAAGAAAAGAATCGCTAGAAAGTAATGAGCGTACAAGGTTACCAAAAATTGGGTGATATAGATTTATTAGGTCTGGTTCTGCTGCCACTCTGTAATCCTCCCTGCATAGCTCTTATTTGTAACTTGCTGTCTGCACGAAAGTTGATGTATGTTTTAGCAGAATGCTTTCTGTCCGTGAAAGTAAACTTGAAACTGCTTATTATGACTGAAATGATATTGTCATTTCCCCTGCCATGAGTTTTGGGTTCGTTGAGTTTTCTATGTTAGTCGCTGAATTCTTACTCTTGGTAGTAGCAGAATTCTTACTCTTATCGAGAGAGGGTGACACTAGGAGTTGGGGCAATTTTCTGGTTTATTTCTCACACAAATGTCATATCCATCTTGAGGGGTTGGGGATATATATTTATAGGCTGCTAGCCAGCTAAGTAGATGCTAGATGCTAAGATGTTGTCCTTGATGGGCAGCAAGACCACCATGCAACCACAAGGATCATATACTGCAGCCCCACAAATACTAGCCAACATAGAGACTTATCCATCATTCTCCCTCTAAGTGTTTTGTCGTCTTGTGGGAAAGTTGAACCATGATCATCCCAAGAGGCTTGGTAAGCAGGTCCGTAAGCTGGTCCTTAGTGTTGATGTAGCTCGCCTTGATGCTCCCTTTCTCCAAACAATCTCGGATGAAGTGGTACCTCACCCGGATGTGCTTTCTCCGTTCATGAAAAACGGGGTTCTTTGCCAGGGCCAGAGCGGACTTGCTGTCCATTCTGAGCTCTACCGCTCTAGTGTCTCTGCCGAGAAGATCACCAAGCAGTCGAGCGAGCCAGAGCGCCTGAGTCGAAGCGGTGGAGGCCGCTATGTACTCGGCCTCGCAGCTGGACAGGGCCACCACCTGCTGCTTGACCGACTGCCAGCTAACGAGGCACTTGCCGAGGAGGAAGAGGATCCCACTCGTGCTCTTGCTAGTGTCGATGTCGCCGGCGTGGTCGATGTCGCTGTACCCGACGAAGTGTGCCGCCCCATGACACCTAGGGTAGTAGAGGCCGTGGTCGAGAGTCCCCGCAACATAGCGGACGATCCTCTTCACAGTCTGCTGGTGCTCCATCGTCGGTCGCTGCATGAACCGACTAACGTAGCCGATGGAGAATGCCAAGTCCGGCCGTGTGTGCGCGAGGTAGCGAAGACTCCCCACAAGACGCCGGTATCGCGTAGCGTCCACCTCCTCCGTCGTGCTGTCGCGGCTCAGCTTCAGCCTCTCCTCCATCGGAGTGAGAGCTGGGTTGTAATCGGTGAGCCCAGCTAGCTCAACGACGCGCTTGGCGTAGGCGGTCTGTCGAAGCGTGATCCCGAAGTCATCCTGGTGTACCTCGATTTCCAGGTAGAAGGAGAGAGGCCCCAGGTCACTCATCTGGAAGGTGGCTTTCATCTCTTCCTTGAATGCCACCACCTCCGCATCCTTGGTGCCGGTGATCACTAAGTCGTCGACGTAGACACCCACTAGCAGAGCATTTTCTCCACTGCCCCGTCGGTAGATGGCCGCCTCGTGCGGGCTTTGCTCGAAGCCCATCCCTTTTAGCGTGGAATCCAACTTGGCATTCCACGCCCTCGGTGCCTGCCGCAAGCCATAGAGGGCCTTGCGCAGGCGGAGCACCTTGCCCTCCTTGCCGAGGATCGCAAATCCCGGCGGTTGGTGCACGTAGACCTCCTCCTTCAAGTCGCCGTTAAGGAACGCCGACTTGACGTCCTTGTGATGAACACGCCAGTCCTCCTGGGCAGCTAGCGCAAGGAGGAGTCGCACGGATTCCATCCGTGCCACGGGAGCAAAGGCGTCGTCGAAGTTGACCCCCTCCTGCTGCACGAAACCTTGTGGCACCAAGCGAGCCTTGTGCTTGACGATGGCGTCGGCTTCATCCCTCTTCAGCTTGTACACCCACTTAAGGGTGATCGCGCGGTGACCACGAGGAAGGTCAGCAAGCTCCTAGGTGCGGTTCTTCTCAGCCGCATCCATCTCCAACTGCATCGCGACGCGCCATGCCACGTGTCTCTCGGCCTTAGCAAACAACCAAGGCTCATCGTCGTCACACGCAAGGTGCAACTGCGCCTCCAGGTCGTGAGGCACCAGTCCTGGCACCGGCTGGTCACCAAGAAGGTTCTCCATCGTACGGTACCGCAACGGCTCGCCGTCGTGGTACGCGTCGATGCGCTCCTCGTCGTGAGAGAGCGGAGTAGCGAGCTCAACCGGGTTGTGCTCGACACGAGCTGGTGTTGGAGTAGACGTGCCCGGAGAGGTGCTCGCCGGTCTTTGGTGCCACCGTGGTGGAGCGGTGAAGAACTCATCGCGGTTGAGATCTGGTGGAGGCGTGGTCTTTGTCGAATAGCAGCGTCGGGGTCGATGGAGGCTCGGCTCGGGGGGTAGACGCGCGCTCGTCGAAGAAGAGCTGCCTACTCCCCCAGCTCCCTCGAAGTGGACGTACTCGACAGTGAAGTCGTCGTACATCGGAGCCGAGCCATCGTCCACCGCCTTGTCCCACGCCCATCCTCGCCCTTCGTTGAACACAACGTCGCGCGTCGTGCGCACATGTTGTGTCTTCGGGTCGAGGATGCGGTAGGCCTTCGAGTCCTCTGCGTAGCCGATGAACACTCCCGGAGTGCTCCTGTCGTCGAGCTTGCTGATATGGCCAAGCTCCTTGGTGAACGCGCCGAAGACCCACAAGTGGGAGACCGCCGGCTTACGCCCATGCCAAGCCTCGTACGGCGTCCTGCCGTCGAGCGCCTTGGTAGGCGAGCGGTTGAGGATGTAGATGGCCGACACCACTGCCTCCCCAGAAGACAGCCGGCATCCCCCTCTGCTTGAGAAGGGCCCGAGCCATCCCCACAACCGTCTGGTTGCGCCGCTCGACGACGCCGTTCTGCTACGGGCTGTACGACGCGGAGTAGTGGCGCTGAATGCCCTTATCAGCGTAGTACAACGCAAATTCAGCAGCCATGAATTCGCCACCATTGTCGGTGCGCAGCATGCGCAGCTTGCGGCCGCACTCCGCCTCCGCAGCAGCCTGCGCACGCCTGATGGCGTCCGCAGCCTCTCCCTTGCTGCCGAGGACCATCACCCACATGTAGCGGGAGAGGTCATCGACGAGCAGCAGGAAGTAGCGTCGTCCTCCCGGTGTGGCCAGTGTCACCGGGCCACACAAGTCCCCGTGCACAAGCTCGAGCCTCTCCTTGGCTCGAAAGCTCGCCCGCTGGGGAAAGAGGAGTCGCCTCTGCTTCGTCAACACGCAGACGTCGCAGAGCTGCTCCACATGGTCGAGGCACGGCAGGCCTCGACCATCATCTCGGCAACGTGGCCGAGCCGCTTGAGGGCCTCGAAGTGAAGGTGCCCAAGCGCTCGTGCCGCGCCATGCCTTGTCATCCCGACGAAGGCAATGAGACAGAGGGGTTGTGTCACCTGCACATTGGGGGACGAGAGTCGATTTGCGCTCGTTACCTTGGCAAGAAGGCGACGACGGCGATCCCAAATCCTCATGACTCCATCCTCAACCACCACGCGCGAACCGTTCTCATCTAGCTGTCCCAAGCTGATAATGAGGACATTCCTAGCATTCACTCATCTTCAAATGCAACTCCACTTGATATAGCTGGTCCAATTACAAGAAGTAGAGCTAAACAATTGGAGAAGGAAATTCATTCTCGGTGAAACGCTAACCTTATGTTTAATAATCAGTTTATGTTGAATGAGCCTATGCTTTTGAGTTCTTGTTCCAATGTCCTTAGGAATGATGGAGTGTACGAACCAAAGCATGGGATGAAGATGGATTCAAGCCTCTGGACATTTGAACCAAGAAGCCTATGGTGTGCAAGAATAAAATGGTGGTTCATCACCTTTGCATGGAAATGCAACGAAGCTAGATGGTGATACATGGTACGAATTCCAAGCATCACCATGACAGAATACAAGGAGTTAGATGGTGTTCTATATGTGGATTGAAGCGTCTTCAAGTCTACTTTCCAGCCCATCAAGCGGCTCATTATTTGGACTTCCCAATAAAGAGTTATGCTTATTTTAGTAACTGCTATCGGAAGTTGAAAGACGCGCGAACCGACCATGAAATCCTTTGGTGCATCGCATCCGCCATTTACTCCAAGTTGAACGTCCCTATCCCTATATATATCTTGTACTATACAATGAAAGGTCAGATTTTGATTAGTTGAATTGAGAATACACAAACTCGTGGAGTTTTGTTTATGCGTGAGTCTTGAGAGGCTTGCAACACTTGTTCTTTTCGATTCTCGAGGGAGTTGTAGAACGCCGAACTGCGGTTCACCGGTTCGTGCCTTCACGTCTATAGGGCGTGATTGCGTTAAGTGGCTGTTTCGTCGATGACGTGGAAGGGTGATTGTCTCGGGTAGTTCGTCGGCGTGGACAGCCTCGCGGTGCACCGCCTCTTCACCAGTCACGTGGCGACAAGTTATCAAGTTCGCGGATCCTACGAGAAGATCGGGCCACACAACTTGCTACACGCGTTGCATAGGCGTGTGCACATCATCTGGTACCGAGCCTCCGTTTACTCGTTAGGATTGTTCTTGTTTTTGGTAGGATAGAGTTTATATACCCTCTGTCCACTAATAGCCAAAAAAAGAAAACCTACAGCCCAAATTCATACGTGCTCTTGATTTTGTAGTTTTCTTTATCGAGTTTTAATCCTTTAAGATTTGTCTAGTTGCTGAAATTTTCTTTTCCACATCGTTCTAGTTGTTATCATTGTTCTAATCATCAAATCGCTCCTTTGCATGTACCCACCCATCCCACCCTTGTTACGATCGTCATTGCTTGCTGCATATATATAAATCAAAAAAAAACCCACCCGTCCCCCCTTGTTTTGTTTCTACCCGCCACAAATTCCCCAACCGAAGTTTCTTGTTTTTGTCTTGCGCCGTCCATCTTAGTTGATCCTTATGTGCCCCTTTAGTTGAAAGTTGTCTTTGCGTTTCTC